TTTTTATGTGAATTTTTAATTATTTACTGGACACCATACACACAAAATTATGTATATCTTTGTAAATAAGAAAGACACGACCTTCAAATTTTCAGGAATTACTTCTGATATTTCATAGATTCAGAAAATTCAAAAAAGTGAAAATCCAAAATTTTGTCAAGAAACCCCATTTTTGCATTCCATGACACATATGACGTCACAGTACCAATGTTGAAATTTAGTTCCGTAAATTTTTTCGAAGTTGTTACATTTTCATACAATGTATGCAGTCATTTACTTGCTTCTCCTATAGAAGCAAAATTTACGTACATGACAGAATTTATTCCTGTTGATAATTCAATATAGTGTTGTTTTTTTTATTCATCAGAACAGCTCATGCCTTAGATTGTTAAAATAAGAACCATAAGGAATAGAAAATATTTTACAAAATCTTTTAGAAATGTGTAATCATATGAAAAAGAAACATTTTAAGTGTGTGTGTGTGCGTGTTTTTTTTTAATTCTTATGTACTAAATAGTTGAAATGATTCTGAAAAATCCTTTAAATAAGTTTTAAAAAAGAATTTTCAGGATAAAATAATGAATTTTGGCCAGTTTTTTTTCATTTATAATAGACCTAAATTTGGCTATTTGAAAACTATATATAGATGCAAAAAAGTAGGAAGAATGTTAATCTTTTAATAACAAGCCATGGTTAGTAAGTTTTAAGCTCTTGTAGTTTAATTGTCAAAATGCCTCTTTATTGTATCACATACATAAGAGGAGTTCTGAGTTCAAATCTCAGCAAGAGTTCTTAGTTTGTAAAATTAAAATAGGGCTATGAATTTTTATGTCTATATTCATTTTTTTGCTTTTATAAGTCATTGTTTTTATTTGACAGTTATTAAAATCAAGGTATCATAGTATAAAGCGACTTGACGAGTAAAATATCACTTGAAATAATGTCCAAGCGTAAAAAGTGTTTGACAAATGGTAAAATGTACTAACTTTTCTGTGCGTTTTCTAATTTTGACATCTGCTTACTCAACTGTCGGCATATTTATTTGCTAATCGTGAAATTCGCTCATATCTAACACCCGACCGCGGATCGGCAAACCTGTGAGGAATACTAAATGATCAAGGAGTACTATACGAATGCTAAATGCAAGATTTCAAAATGGCCCAAAACATTTCCCATTTCGAATAAGACCAGCTCGTCTGTCGATTTTCGTGTTGACCGTGCATTTCATACTGTGCATGTTTTTCACGTATTTGCCGTTTCTGTTAAAATGAAATTTTTGTCTTGATAATCAATATTTCAAGTTTGAAATGAATATTTGTGATGGTTTAGGAGAAAAATATAAACAGGGAGAAATGCCTTTCAAGATCATCTTAATTCCTTTAGAAATACATTTACTTTTATATAAAATAAGTATTTTATGTTTTAAGTGAATATGTTTAAAATTTTGAGCAATAAGCCGTAACCAAAAGGTTAATCAAGGCGAAAACATAATCGAAAACATAACCAAAAAGGTTAACCAACGCCGACACGTTTAGCTTTTCATTAATGAAAAAAAATCATTTCTCGGGAGTAAATAGTTAGCTGTCATTTGGTCACGGAGGCCTCTCATGCCTTTTGATATAAATGCAAATATTGTGTTAAACAATAGCTGAAAGTAATGACATATGATATACAATCATATCAAACATTAAACACATATCAGTTTCCGCCGCCTAATTCCCTTAAGTATGCTGCATTTGGAAACCCGTTGAACATTTCAAAACGAGGCAATGTCAAAACCCAAGTTAACCATTTTTTACGTCCCCGCGAGGGGTTTGACATTATCGGAAGATAGATAACAACCGCATGTACATTAATTATTAGAGCAACCTGATTAATAAAATCAGCTCCTAACTAACGATGCGCTACAAGTAAACATAAGATTTGAACTTTTATCATGTTGAAATAAACTGTACATTGTAGTCTATTAAATTTAAATGCATTGGCTGCGGTTGTATTAACAAACATATTAGCGAAACAAAGTAACCACAATTAAATGATATCATATTCGACATTCAAGTATAATCTTTCATAAGCATCAGCTTAAATGTTATGTCACTGGTTTACTGTATGAAAATTGTTTGGTCTTTGGGTGGGCCCCGGATCAGTGGGTTTGAGTGCTATATTTTCCTTGAATACTTAAGTTGTTCAGATGTGTGTTGAGGAACATCAGTCATTGATAAAATAGAGAAAAAAAGAACCCCTAAAGAAAGTCCAAAACGGCAAAATTGAAAATGTTGCAGGTTCCGTTTGATAAAGCCCAAATTAACACTGTCCCGGTAATGGCCACGGAATCGCTACTGTGTCTTAAGCTGGTGAACCGAGGTGTTCCGTGGTGTTTTTCTGAGAAATCAAATTGCGTTTACACATCCCCGACAGAGCCCAGATGTATTCCCGGTTCAGAACCCGATATAGCACCGGATATATACGATAAGCGCCGATGCTAAATCGGTGTATTTCCGCTTGATTCCGGTGGAACCCCGACTAGACACGGTTTCATCACGGTCCATCTCGACCATCGCCGTTTTTGCCACGGTAATGCTATTAGTGATGCCAGTACTGTGCCGGTGACGCCCTGGTAATGCACCGATGCTTCCTGTTCAAGTTTATGAGAATAAAACTGACTGACCACGATGACATCAGTCATTTGGTAAAAAGACAGTAGAGATGCCATCCGAAGGAAAGGGGATGGAAGTTAGAAAAAAACTGTGTCTACAACACCTTCGAGGTACCTGAAGCTGAAAATGCACCAGCTGAAGAATTTTCCCTTCTCTCATTTAACAAATTGTCCATGCTCGTGTTCCTTCTCTAAACAAAATGATCCAAGTAGCGCTTCAAGTTTATATATTCCTGTTCTTTAAATTTCCTGTATCGGCATGAGGTCGTTACACCACCGTCTATCATCGTTGTATAACCGTACTTGTCTGCAATATCCGGGACATTACCGGAGCGTTGTTGCCAGTGACCTCAATGTACCCTGGCTCTACCGTAGCTCTGCCTGTTTTACCGTGGCAACATCGTGTCATCACCGGGACTTTGCCGTTTGGACATTGATTGACACGCATCCCGGTTTACTACGATTTGTCACGGTATGGATGCAGTATAGATACGGTGGTTTCCCTGTTCCAAGCCGATAGAACACGGATTTGGGCTTCCTCTCGGTGAGTGCCTGTGAGCCCCGGTTGTATTAAACATTTGAAGACAACCATGGTGATCACTCAGTTTGTTCCGGTTCACCATGGTTTGTCCCTTTACTTCAAGGAATTTCAACGACCCAACGCCGGTTTACCACGGTTGATCATGGTTGACTAAACCGTGGCAAACCGGGACACCAAACCGGGAATGTGTAAATGGGGCTTAAACCGCCCTAGTATGACTTTATTACTATTAGTACTAGCAAGAATAAAAGGTCTTCAAATCAATGAAATTACTTAAAACCGAATTCTGATCGCGACAATATCATAATACTTTTAAGATGTTGTCAAGCAGAGTTATAAATGAAAAAGGGAGACAAAAGAAAAATACTTACCTAATGAGATTTGAATTTCAATTGTATCTTTCTAGAATACGCTTTCTAGCGTCAATATTACATTATATAGCAGCTCAAATCCTCGATATTTAGGTTCATAAAAGAAAACAATTAAAACAAAGATACTTTTTGTTAAATGGCAATTACAGTAAAAATAACTATGAGAGCGTTTTAAATTAAAATACTACTACTTTTAATCATGATTTTAACATGAATTTATATCTTGCGACATTTAACGGTAGTGTTGCGACATTTAACGGTAGCGGAAATTCGTGCGACATTTAACGTTAACATTGCGACATTTAACGGCAAATGATTTTGCGACATTTAGCGGCAGTTGCGACATTTAGCGGTATTGGTGCGACATTTAGCGGTAAGTGCGACATTTAGCGGCGTTGCGACATATAACGGCGCCACAAAGATGTCGAGATACTTGTAATTTTGGAATGGAATTGAATTTTTATATACAAGAAAGTTAATTTTTCAATTCTTGAATTTATGAAATGTCGTACTTAAGTGAGAATGAGAGTAATACGGACAGGGTCATTCAAATTAAAGACATTGGTTCCGACTATTGTCTAAGATCATCCATTAATTTTGTCTGTAAACAATATTGTTCGCCTGCATTCTCTCTTTTAGTACTTATTAACGTACATGTTCTTATGAAGGAGATACAGAATAAATGCAATGTACATATTTCACTTTGATGGTGTACATGCACAATATATTTGATTAAAAATCCCACCAAACCTTATTACGACTTACGCACGGAAAATGCCAAAAATTGTATCCCTGTCCACATTTGTTCAATGTTCAACATTCATTAATGTATCATATATTAACCTCTCAGGGAGTACTGGGTGAACGATGATAATGCTCTTAAAATTCGAGTCGTGCTCAGTAAGCAGAGCATTTTTGTTCCGGATTTATGACCATTAGACTAAATCTCCGAGATCAACCAGTTGTCACGGAGAAAGTTTGCCCTGCCCAAGGATCGAACCAGCGACCCCTAGATTACAAACCTGATGGTCTCCCTTTTGAACTAAACGTTCGGTTCTATTCAGGACGAGTTCTTTGTCTTGCTTGTAAGTGTTGTTTATACATGCACAATGAGTAATTTCTTAGTTTTATAAGCAGAAACGATATAGATCGGACGTCCACAAGCACAACAAGAAATGGCATCAAAGGAAAGACAATGCCAACATTTTAACTATTGTCACTTCTAGACGATTGAAGTATTGAAGTATTTCGTCCAATATATTCCAAAAAATCGAACAGGAGAAAAACGCACTAAGATTTTAAGAAAAATAAAGAAGATTTAAGAAATAATATACATGTTACGTGCGATTAATTACTTTTTGCAGGGATATTTTTGCATATTCTAAACTTTTTGGTAATGTACGTAGATTGCAAGTGCCAATTGCACTGTGTAAATAACTTTTCTTGATCACTTCACAATATTTTATTTTTAAATACATTTTCAAAATTAACATGAAAAATTGTCACGAATGTGGAGGCATGCTGCTTTAGATTTAGAAAATGCAACATAGGCAATAAAGAATAAAATTCTGGTTATAAGATAAAAGTTACAATATAGCTTTAAACAAAAATCGGTTATTTACATAAATTTACAATACTATAGCTATATACGAGGGCAAAATAATTTTAAGGGGCAAAGTTTACTAATTCCAAATTTAGAAAACTATAAATATGTATCTAAAAAGCTTTTCAATGGATGAATTTCTTGGCACTTGTAGTTCTCAAATAACTATAACAATGTCCTGTTTCTACAAACATATCTTTTAAAGTGTAAGTATAAAACATTAAGAGTGGTTGAAGGGTCCAGTACTGGAAGTAGTGTCACCATGGACTTTCAACTCTTGTTAAACTTGTGCGCTGGAAGTGTTGGTTTCTATTCGACCAGTTTTCGGAAGGTCTTTGAGCATTAATTCCCGTGGAAAATGTATTTGTTGATACCAAACTGTTTTGTTGACCTCGAGGGATACGGTTGTCTGAGCGTAAAGACTGTACATTTGGCCGCGAACTTCTAACTCCAGATTGAGTGCTGCTATTCGATTGTGAAATACGCGAGCGATTCTTGTTGTTTGAAAGTGCCTCTCCGGTGTCTTTGGATCTAACTTGAGTTACTTTAAATGACTGAAAGTAAGCCAAATTTTATATACAAAATCAAAGCCACATTTGATAAACTTTTCCAAAAAATTGCAAGTATTTTAAGTCTGTTTTAACAATTATAAAATATTAACTTGAAGCTATTTACCAAGAATATCATCATTTTAAACCGCTAATACAAAATTTACTATGTTTTCTAAGACTTCTTGTGTACGTTAGATCAGTATTAAACAACCATTGAACATGGCTAATCTTCATTATAACACAATCAATTAGAGTAGATCTGCAGATCTACATACAATCTCAAACATTATAGACAAGTATGAACTATATATAGGGTGAATTGTAATTTTGTAAATTATCGTTCATTTCACGAGCCAAAGTTAATATTGTCTTCACCATTGGATGTAAATGAAATGCAAATTTTGCATATAAAACTAGTTTTATTTCACTCTGTAGAATGCAAAAATAATGTAATGTGATTCATACCTTTGACTTCCCGAACTTGTAGCACATTACACAAAACACAATACACGTGCAGAGTATCAGCAATAACGAGGCTGCGATAATGATTGCAGATATCAACAAAGACAGACCAAATATCCCAGTGTCTGGAAAGAATACATTTATCTGATTGGAGAATTATGTTTTTTTTTTCTCTTTAAGAATGATTTTAAATGTTGAAATCACAGAAACTTTCAATATCAAATTTTGCTACATGTAGGCAATTAGTAAGAACTCCAAAAGGTCATATAGTTATGCAATTTAACCGACACATCTACTGAATAGGATATACATTTTACATTCATAACAAGCTTCATTTTAGCCTTTTACACGTGTGCCGCTAGTATTAAAGACGATTTCGGGAGTTTTCATATAGACATATCATATTCTAACAACATGCCAAGTTTAAAGAAATTCTATTGAACAGTTTTAACTTTGCCTACATGTCTATATGAAAACTCCCGAAAACGTCCTTAAATTAAATAGCTTATTTTATTAAAGGAAAAGACGAAGTTCGTACATATTAAAGAAAGACAAAAACGAAAGAATATTACTAAACATGAGCTGAAATCACTTACCAGCAGAACTGTCTGACGTGCTTGATGTATTATTTCCGGATTCTTGTCCTGTAGCAGGTGTTGTTGTTGTTTCATCCGGGCACTGAGCAACAGAGCTACAGGAAGTAGTTAATCCGCCACTTGATGCTTCATTTCATGAAAGTAATATATATGCAATTTAATGGAGATTTGTTTGCCATTTGTAGTGTCATTAACATTTAAATGAGCATTATCATTTAGACTATCCAATAGTACACTTAAAACATGAACAACAGCAACAAGAACAAAACAAAAAAAAACAAACAGAACAAACAATCAAAAAAGTGCATTAGCTAAAGATATACATTATTTACAGAAAAGTTTTAAATGTTCTGCTATTTCACCTTCAAGCTTTTCCAACTAAGCAATCTCATTAAAATCAGATGGTATATTAATGAGATTGCCAACTAAGAGAATTGTCATACCGGAAGCTCTAAACCACGCCTTGCCGTTACCAACAGCTGCTGCTTCCGACTTCAGAGTGACGGTCAGAGTGTTTCCGGTTGACGTGAACAACCTTTTTATAACGTAGTCGTTATTTTGTGAACAGTTAAAGCTTGAAACTCCAGAACTGTCTGTCACAAATACGGTCTGAAGACAGGTTGCGGTGGAATCATAAAGATTTAGATCTATGACGTCAAGTCCGATTGTTGCAGACGCATCGGAAGCTGTTATCACGCATGCGCAACAATTGACATGTGAAATACCAGAGGAATAGCCATCGTTAAAAAAGTACGATGGTGTGGTTTGAACGTTCGCCCCGGAAGTATCACAAAACTCCAAAAAATCTGATTCTGCAAAAAGAAGGATTTACATTTAAGCGGCACTCAAAATATAAAATATACGGCAAAAGTTTTATATTTTAAATGGCATAATTGAGTTCTAAATATTAAAAAATAAAATAACAAATTTACAAGGGATATATCATCATATTAATCGTTACGAATGTGCATTTATTAATGGAGTGCTATGTAAGAATGTTGAATTTATTATACTTGGGGATGACGAGTATAATATGACTGCACAGCAGTAAATAATTATACATTTATTTATAAAATAGTCTGGTCTCGATCAAAAGGACGTGTTCAGTTTTCTTTTTGTCTTACTTGGAAAACAAGTGTAATCCATACACATGTAGTTAGTCTGGGTCATGTAGGTAGCATTGCAATCCGGTGCCGATCCTTGCCACGTGACTTGTTTGGAGCAGGTGGCGACCCCTGTACAGTCTGAGTAGACGTTAGGTATATCAGAAGATGTAAGGTCTATCCGACAATCAGCGGCACTATCATAAGTACAACAAGTGGCTTCGTCTCTTGTACCAGCTGTAAAATGGTAAGTACCGAGGGGCAAGTAAATCCAATAAAAAAACAACAATGCTTAAAACAAAGTACCATTTATGCACATGCATGTTCATTTGCGCATTTCTAAAATACAACATCTTCGGATGTACAAATCACAACACCATTTAATATTGAATATTTAGAATATAATGCCATTCAACATCACCAAAATGTATGGTAAGTAGATCTTACATATAATTCAACGGTATATGTGAAAATAAAATGAATATGCTACCATTAAGTATGTAGAATAAAAAAAGAAAAATACTATATAATTCTGATGGCCATAACACCTTAGTTTAAACTTTATTTATTCAATAAATTGTACATAAATGACATTTACAAACATTGCACAACAATGTAATTTAGACTGGATTGGAAAACAAGTAAAGCAATACTTATATCAATTTCTTTCCAGTAAAAGTAATTTTCAAGATAAAGATACAAAAATGTTGCGGTTAGATGTAAGCTCTTTGAATGTACAACAGAAAATAAGAGAATAATTGATTGTTGAATTATCACTATAGAGAAACTAAGGTAAATTATGGTGAAATGCTAAAAGAAAGGAAGAATTTAAAAGAAAGGTATGATTGAATATATCGGAGTTTAATAATCAAGATTAACATTAAGGAAATATGAGCGTACGGAAAGACCAAATTTATTCACACTGATAGTAATTCTTACAAAAAGCGCTTCGATTGTGTAATGAATTTTTGGACATTCTGAAAGAGGGTTTTGTTTTCATCAGAAGAGAGATGTTCGCTGCCGTAAAGAAGATTATTTACTGTAGCCGGACAATTTAAATAAGTGAGAAACCTTTCGCGTATATTTCTGTATTTGGTACATTGCAATAAGAAATGAGATACAGTTTCTCTCATTCCGCATGTGCATGTTGCACTTTCCACAATATACCTTCTGAACAGATCCTCATTCAATGAACTACATCCTTATCTTAATCTTGTGTGAAGGATTTGATCTTTACGTGTGCCTGTATTATAGTATGAAGACGGTGGTCTTTTGATATTCGGGGTTATTTTGGACTTGAATATGTTTAAAGTTGGACTAGATCGAATAGTTTCAGGAAGAGAATTCCAGGTGCGAATAGTAGAAGGTAGAAATGATTTTGAGTATAAATGTGTTCTGGTTGGAACTGGAGTTAAATCGTCAATATGTCTAAGGTTATATGTACTTTGTTGGGTGGGAGTTAGAAGATTTAAAGGTAAGAAGGTGATACATGGTTTTTCATTTTATACAATAAGATTAATTTGTGTTTATGTCTTCTATTTTCTAACGATTCCCACCAAAGTTCACTGATGAGTTTGTTAATATTACACAGTTTGGTAGCGCCTGCGACTATTCTAGCTGCATCATTTTGAACGGATTCTATTTCCTTATTTAGTTCGTCAGTTAAGTTATCCCAGACTACATCAGCATATTCAAGAAGTGGGCGGACGAATGAATAATACATGCGTTCTAAACTTATTCGTGATAAAAAAATAAAACTTCTGAGTAGCCCGATTCTTTTCCAGGCCTTATCAAGTAATAGATGAATATGTGTTTTCCAACGGGCATCATGAGATAAAGTAACACCAAGATGTTTATGTGATGTGACCTGAGATATTGGTATAGAGTTATGACTAAGTGTAGGATGAGACGGTTTAGATAATTTCCTTCAAAAAGTTATTGTTTTTGTTTTTTTCTGGTTTAAAAGAAACAAGCCAAGTATTGGCCCAAGAATGTATCCGATCTAAGTCTGTGTTAAGACTGGTTGCTGCAGTAAGTGGGTTATCTACGATTATATACAAACTCGTGTCATCCGCAAAAAGTTTTATGTTAGAACATTACACCTTGATACTTATATACAAATGTAATAGACTTCTTCAATTATCATAATTAATAGGTAAATGAAACATTTGAAAGTATGCTCACCTGAAACTGGGTTTGAACACCCGAGGGTAAGAGGTTTTGCCGCTCTGTAGATAGAATCTATGACGATAATACCATCAGAGGAAGAGCAGTTAGGCATAAGGGAATCAATCGTGATGTCATTTCCGTAGCACGCGCAGTCCGTCTGCTGTCCGTACACTGTACATAGGAAGACAAATATATTTATAAATGTAAACATTGTACTTTTTATTTGTAGCATTTCGTAAATTGTCAAGACGTTCGGCAGGTTGTGCATTAAAGCGTGGACACTTAGAGAGTCTTGATTTTCCCCGCATTCACAGAGAGGCCTGTCTATAACATTATTTTTTTGAAAATAAATGTTCCTTTATAGAAGTACAGTGGTGTGTGAGATATTTTGGTCAGTTTCGAACCAATATAATATTATTTCGGGATCTGTTGTGAATTTGAATTTACATGTACATTGTATTTTACATTTATAATGAATAATTTCTGTAATAATTTGACAGTTGGTTCCATTTAAAACAGTAAGTGGAAGAAATTAATTTGAATAAAGTTGGATGTTGCAAAGTATAATTCTAGAGTTGACACATTTGCAAAGATTATATGTACTAATATCGCCGACATTATCAGGATCTAAGTTTGATTGATACGACAAAGTTAGGTTGTTTTCCATCTTGTTAAATAATGTTAACTAGTCTATGGTTTCTTCTCCTGATTTTTAATTAGCGGTTCCAGTCAAGTTTCTGTAACTGTTAAGAGACCTGTTTAGTGGCCCAAGTGATAATTCTGCACGCTTCAAGCTGTATTTTCTCAAATTCAAGTTCGGGGGTATGATTTCTAGAGATTTGTATCAATTTTAATTTTCTCATAACGTTGCTTCGTTGCCATGCTTTTACTTTGATAGTATCAATATGATGATTTCAAGTGCCGTCATTTATGAAAGTAACATGTTTGTGCGTTGTGACTTCTAATACTCAATAAAAGGCAACAGAAATATGAGCCGCGTCACGACAAAACCAACATAATGGGTTTGCGACCAGCATGGATCCAGACCAGCCTGCGCATCCGCGCAGTCTGATCATGATCCATGCTGTTCGCTATCAGTTTTTCTACTTGTAATAGAGTTGGTAAGCGAACAGCATGGATCCTGATAAGACTTCGCGGGGTCGCAGGCTGGTGTGGATTCATGCTGGTCGCAAACGCATTGCGTTGGCTTTGTCGTGACGCGGCTCATATCATAAAAGACGTCGCGAACTTCTTTACCAACATCAAGTGATTGACTAAATATGTTAAAGATAGATAAAAGGTGCATGGTAGTAATTAATTAAATTATACAATTTAATGGGTCAGAAGTTTGTGCCGCGACCAAATGGTTCGTGTTTCATTCGCCAGTAACTTATTACTGGACAGGTACATAAGTCACTTGTTATCTAAATACACGTATTTATTTTTTTTGTATATGCTACTGTATATATTGAGTTTTCATTTTTCATTATATAATGTATAGTGCATTTTTCGTAATTTAATGAACTACAGTTACTTTATTTGTTTTTAGTCAGACCTTATTTCAATTACTTTGATTTATTGATTAAATTGTTATCCCAATAATTTAGATGCATTGTACATTAACAACAATTTCAAAATGCCGCTTTTTCACAAGAAAAACAATTTACACGCTTCTATGCATTAATTACCTTTAAATACCACTGAGATTTTTTTAAATGGCATTAAACACTGAAAATTAAATACAGTTTGTCGATATTACTAGTATATGATTTTACCGGTGGATTTTGAATGATACGGATTAATATTCTTATTAAGAAAGAAAGAAAGAAATAAAGAAAGAAAGAAAGAAAGAAAGAAATCAAAACAAAAGAAGGAAAGAAAAATGAAAGAAAGAAATCAAAACAAACACATAAATTTATAATTTTATAGCTTTTTGGAATTATTATATTTTCCCAAAAATATCTTCAATTCATAGAACATAAAAAAGTTATAAATAATTCTTACATTAATATTTTTAGTTTCAATTTTTGTCAAAAATCTGTGAAAAAATATATTTTCACAAACACGTGTTAAATGTCTTCAGAATTTATCAAATTTACCTTTTACGATAAAACAAAGAAATCCGAAGATTTGTGCACCATGTATTTCCATATTACCGGTAATTTAAAGAGGAACAGGCATTTGTATTTTTGCCTAGTTTTTTTAAACTTGTGGCTTTCATACGTATGCACCTTTAAATTGTTCCAATTAGATATTTAAAAAGGCAAAGTTTGAGGCAATTTAAATTACAATAGGTACACAATATCTAATGAAAAGATCATGTTTTTTTCTCTTCAATAATTGACTATTCTTTGGACTGAAAAAGTATGTAACATTTATTCAATCAAAACCGCTGTTGACATTGATTATTATCAAATCAAAATGAAATATGGTTTTGAAATAAGCAATTAAATTGAAGCACGGAAAAAAATGGTCCACATATACACGGAAGACAACGATATTGGATGATTACTGTGAACATGCAGGGTTAACCGCGGTTGCTAGTAGGGCCCCTTTTCAGGCGCTGTAAAATAGACTGAATATAAATCATCATGAAACAAGTTCGATTTCAAACAACTCCAGCAATAATATCTACATGTTCATAGATAGATAGATAGACTAATGGTGCTTGGTGTCGGTATTGGTAGTTTTCTTTCAGGATCACGTCAGTAAGCCACATTGAATTTACCAGAGCTATGTTAAACCACCGCATCGTTCCCGGACAGGCTTTCGAGCAGTTTACCAGTACTTGTTGCAAGAAACTGATAACTTCTGTACATACCAGAGCAAACGTATACAGTGCGAACGACTGTTAAAAGGATTTCATGATCAATCGTAATGAAAGCGACCTGCACCGTCTGAGAATCGAACCAGGATCGCCCGATTCACAGTCAAACGCTATACCTATAATTAGCTAACCGGACGTTGCTTTGTAATGTGCTTTACACATGGGACGGTATTTAACCAGTTTTTGTCTTGAATTGAGTATTTTTTATCAGAAGCAATATCTTTCACCAAAGACTTCTTGCGCGACTCCAGCACAGGGACCCTACTGTATTGGTTCCCGACGCGTCGGAGGATATCGCAGACACGGTGTCTAACCGAACACAAGCTAGCAGTTATCTGGTATCTGATCTAGTCTGTCTGTTAACTGAGATCCAATTAACAACTCCTTCTTATTCTTTACAGTATAATCATACACGTATATAAAGTTAGGATACATTTGATAATAATAATAATAATAATTATAATAATAATTTATAATAATAATAATTATAATAATAATAATAATTTTATAATAATAATAATAATAATTTTATAATAATAATAATAATTATGATAATAATTATATTAATAATAATAATTTTATAATAATAATAATAATAACAATAAAAATAATAATAACAATAATAATAATTATAATAATAATAATAATAATAATAATAATAATAATAATAATAATAATAATTAATAATAATATAATAAATAATAATGATGATGATGATAATGATGATGATGGCGACAAAGGTGAAAAAGGTGATGATGAAGATGATTATAATGATTACGGCGATGACGATGATGATACTACAATTCAACCTGCCAAAGCAAGCCCAGGATATTTACCGTATACATGCATTAAATGTAGTATATACGGAATGAGTACCGTGGGTTCCGACGATGAAGTAAGTCAAGTTTCTTGCCATTGAAGAATTGTTTGGCTGTGTCACTATCAATCATTTTAGTGAGACGAGGTCGTCCATTACTCAAGCTTATCTGATACAAAAATAAGTATCGAAAATTACGTGTCATATTAAATGGACGTTTGATCAATAATTACTTATCTTAATTATTACATAGGCTTTTAAATACACAAAATAAAGAAATGCTTGTGAATCGACATCATTTTTAATCTGACAGGTTTCGTGGTTATCTCCTTTGATTACAAGAATTTTGACAAATTGTCCCGACACTTTCGTCTGTTATGATACACATAAATTGTAATTATAAATAAATATATTTAATAGTCAAAACGTTTTGCAGTTCTTCTATGTTGATACGATTAATTCCCCTATGAATGTATTCTTGCGTGATAAATGATAAGCGATACAAATATACTTGAGAGAAAAACATTTAAAAGGGAAGTAGTAAACATTTGAATGGATTTTTACGAAAGACCGGTGGGGACATTTTCAACTTTATGAACTCCCGATTTCATCTTCGTTAATTCACAATTTTAACTTCGTGAATTCACGTTTTCGTTATACGGCTTTCACAAATTTCACAATTTCAACTTCACGAATTTATGATTTCAACTTCATGAATTTCACGAATCTTCACAGATTCAAGATTTTACATTTAAGAAGTTGAAATCGTGAGTTCACGAAGTCGAAATCGTGATGTTCAGAACGTGAATTCATGAAGTTGAATTCGTGAAGATAAAATTGTGAAATCGTGAAGTTGAAATGATCGTGAATTCATGTACGGAACATATGTCCAGATTAGTTGCGTATTATTAACCTCAGTTATATGAAAACGATATTTAAATCATTCGTTTATTGGATAAAAACTTTTAAAGATGTTTATTAATAAGTTATCTACCGGGCGTCCACCTTTCATAACAATTTGACCAAATTTACGCCTTATTGTTACCGACGCACAACAGAGACAGAGACGTCATTACTTTGTAATCACGTGTGATAGAATTCCTTACTCTCTACCAAAATCAAAACCACCATACGTTTGCTGCCATGGCCTACCAAAATATATTAATGTTATGTGTTTGAAATATGCATTTCTCTTTCTAAGTTTCTTGTCTGATGAAAATACTAGGACTTTCCCGTCGGAACTTTCCTGTCTAGGTGACACTTATGCACCTGGAGGAGTCACAAAGTCCAACTCCTGTGGCATCATCTCAATTAACACAAAATTTTAGGCAAGGTATTTAATAAAGCTTGCCTTTATTATTAAATAAATCGGCAGAAAAACTATGGTGTTCGTTAATGATCCTATATAGAAAGTAATAATCAAGGGAGAAAACTATGAATTTAATGGTCCTATAGAGAAAGTAATAATTAGGGGAAAATTTTGGAGATAGAAAGTTATAATTAGTGAAGAATACTATAGAATTATTAGTCCTACATAAAAAATAACAAGAGGGCCAAGATGACACTAGATCGCTCACCTAACCAACCGAACTCTTCCGAGCAATTACTTAGATAAGCATCCTGACCAATTTTGAAAAATGATACCTCTAGAATGTTAACAAGGTGTTTCCATATTTGGGCAGTGTGACCTAGGTTTTGACCCCAGGTGACCCATTTTGAAACTTGGCCTAGAAATCATCAAAACAAAACTTTCAGGCCAATTTCCAGGATATTTGGATCAAAACAGTAGCCACTCGAGTGTTAACAAGATTTTTTTTGGGCTCCTGTGACCTAGTTTTTCTTCTAAAATGACCAATGTTCGAACTAATACGTGCAACGACCTAGACAAGCATCCTGACGAAGTCTGATGACAATTGAGTAAAAAATGTGACCACTAGAGTGTTAACAATGTTTTTTTTTCCATATTTGGGCAGTGTGACCTAGGTTTGATCCCAGGTGACGCATATTAGAACTTGAACCAGATATCATCAAAACAATCTGTCAGACCAATTTCATGGATATTTGGATAACAACAGTAGCCACTAGAGAGTTAACAAGATTTATTTTTAGCTCCTGTGACCTAGCTTTTCATCCGAGATGATCCATGTTTGAACTCATCTGAGCAATTACCCAGATAAGCATCCTGACAAAGTTCGATGATGATTGAAGCAAAAATGTGACCACTATAGTGTTAACGAACAAATGTGGACGCACGACCCTGAGCTAGCTCAGGTGAGCTAATAATCAGGGGAGAAAACTATGGAGTTAATGGTCCTAAATACAGAAAGTAAAGCCAAGATGAAGAACACCTTATTTCAGTTACATGTGGGCAATGTTAATTCTCTCAAATTGTATGTGACTTTAACACATTTTGGACTTCAAGAGCAAATTGATATCCATCTTACAAACTGAGGACTTCAATAATAAACCACTTCAATAGGATTCCACTGTTACAGAGGTAATACTGAAATACACACAATATCCTTCTGTCTTAAAAAATACTGATGAAGGTCTTGAAAGACCAAAACCAGCAGATCCTAGATTAAACCTCTTACAAACCATCCTGATGTTTGAGGTGTGTTCTTTCCTCTTGATTAACTTGTTAATTTAAACATACTTTTTAAAGCTTGAATATTGAACAATCTTAACTGATCAGTACTGGTGCCATATGAGGTATCATGGTAATGACCCAAGTGAGATGCCTCAAGCCTATGCTCCATGAGGCAGACAACCAGCACACTGCTTCAACTATTTGGAGATTAGTAAAAGAAAGAAAACAATTACTACAAGAGCTGTCCGTAAGACAGCGCACTCGACTTTTTTATTGCTTGCCAATAAAAAAAGTTTTTGCAGTAAAAGGCAATACAAGAATCTCTGTATTTTTAAAGTGAACTAGTTGTTTGATACCCTTGAATATTACAGCAATGTTTATATGACATAATTTATGGTAAAGTGAACAAGTGGATAGGAATGAATTTTTTTAGATTTTTTAAGTTTTTTAGTGCTTGCCTATAATACAAAACATTGACAGTTAAGGGCCATAATTCAAATAAAATCTTTGACAGAATTACCTTCTCCTGGACATGTTTGGGAATCATGATTGTAAACAAGTATTCCAACTTTCAAATTAATATCTCAAACAGTTCAGTCAAAAAGTGGACTGGTACTAAAAACTTAACCAAGATTCTAAGTCGATAAAAGGCCTTAATTTTTAAAACAAATCCTTGACAGAGTTACCTTCTCTTGCGTACAGATGGGGGTAATGATGTGAAATAGCATTAAAAGTTTCAAAGCAATATCTCAAAGGGTTAAGGCAATAAGTGGATTTTACCCATATTCAATGTATTTTCTAAGTCAAAAAGGGGCATAATTCTGTCAAAAACCTTGACAGAGTTATGTCCTCTTGTCTGTTGATGAAGGTCGTGATGGTAAACAAGTATGGTCAGTTTCAAAGCAATACCTCCAATGGTTTTGAAATAAAGTGAGGTGGTACAAAAAACTTAACCAAGCTCAATACACTTTCTAAGTCAAAAAAGGGCCATAATTCTGTCAAAAACCTTGACAGAGTTATGTACTCTTGTCTGTAGATGGAGGTTATGATGGTGAACAAGTATGGTAAGTTTCAAAGCCATACTTGTAATACTTCTGAAATAAAGTGGGGTGGTACGAAAAACTTAACCAAGGTGTGACGCCAACGCCGACGCCGACGCCGGGGCGAGTAGGATAGCTCCCCTTTTCATAGAAAAGTCGAGCTAAAAATGATTTTTATTTTATTTCTTTTTTCATCATGTTTTCACACTTTTCAGAAAGTTTCATCTAATCTAAAATCAACAAGATATGTTTGTAAAACATGTATGCCCCCTATCAGCAGCCAATTATTCATGTGATAAGGTAATTATGCATGACTTCTGACCCAGTGATCAAACAATTAATAAGGGTTATCAAGTATCTACTGGTCATGACCTTGACCTTTGACCCCTTGACCCAAAACTCAATAGGGGTCATCTGCTGGTCACGACCAATCATCATACAAAGTTTGAAGTTCCTAGGCCTAAGCGTTTTTAGTTAATTGATCAGAAACCGATTTTACCTACAAGGTCAATGTGACCTTGACCTTTGACCCCTTGACCCAAAATCAATAGGGGTCATATGCTGGTCATGACCAATCACCATGCCAAGTTTGAAGTTCCTAGGCCTAAGGGTTCTTAAGTTATTGATCAGAAACTGGTTTAATATACAAGGTCAATGTGACCTTGACCTTTGAACCCAAAATCAATAGGGGTCATCTGCTGGTCATGACCAATCACCATGCCAAGTTTGAAGTTCCTAGGCAGAAGCGTTCTTTAGTTATTGATCAGAAACCGTTTTTACTTACAAGGTCAATGTGACCTTGACCTTTGACCCCTTGATCCCAAAATCAATAGGGGTAATCTGCTGGTCATGACAAATCACCATACCAAGTTTGAAGTTCCTAGGCCTAAGCGTTCTTCAGTTATTGATCAGAAACCGTTTTTACTTACAAGGTCAATGTGACCTTGACCTTTGACCCCTTGACCCAAAACTCAATAGGGGTCATATGCTGGTCACCACCAATCATCATACAAAGTTTAAAGTTCCTAGGCCTAAGCGTTTTTAGTTAATTGATCGGAAACCGTTTTTACCTACAAGGTCAATGTAACATGACCTTTGACCCCTTGACCCTAAAAACAATAGGTCATCTGCTGGTCATGACCAATCACCATACCAAGTTTGAAGTTCCTAGGCCTAAGGGTTCTTAAGTTATTGATCGGAAAGCATTTTTACCTACAAGGTCAATGTGACCTTGCCCTTTGACCCCTTAACCCCAAAATCAATAGGGGTCATCTGCTGGTCATGACCAATCACCATACCAAGTTTGAAGTTCCTAGGCCTAAGGGTTCTTAAGTTATTGATCGGAAAGCATTTTTACCTACAAGGTCAAAGGGCAAGGTAAATGTGACCTTGCCCTTTGACCCCTTAACCCCAAAATCAATAGGGGTCATCTGCTGGTCATGACCAATCACCATACCAAGTTTGAAGTTCCTAGGCCTAAGGGTTCTTTAGTTATTGATCGGAAACTGTTTTTACCCAAGAGGTCATAGGACCTTGACCTTTGACCCCTTGACCCCAAAATCAATAGGGGTCATCTACTGATCATGACCAATCACCATACCAAGTTTGAAGTTCCTAGGCCTAAGGGTTCTTTAGTTATTGATCGGAAACTGTTTTTACCCAAGAGGTCAATATGACCTTGACCTTTGACCCCTTGATCCCAAAATCAATAGGGGTCATCTACTGATCATGACCAATCACCATATCAAGTTTGAAGTCCCTAGGCCTAAGGGTTCTTTCATTATTGATCGGAAACCGTTTTTACCTACAAGGTCAATGTGACCTTGACCTTTGACCCCTTAACCCCAAAATCAATAGGGGTCATCTGCTGGTCATAACCAATCACCATACCAAGTTTGAAGTTCCTAGGCCTAAGGGTTCTTTTGTTATTGATCGGAAACTGTTTTTACCCAAGAGGTCAATGTGACCTTGACCTTTGACCCCTTGACCCCAAAATCAATAGGGGTCATCTACTGATCATGACCAATCACCATACCAAGTTTGAAGTTCCTAGGCCTTAAGTTTCTTTACTTATTGATCGGAAACCGTTCTTGCTAACAAGGTCAATGTGACCTTGACCTTTGACCCCTTGACCCCAAAATCAATAGGGGTCATCTACTGATCATGACCAATCACCATACCAAGTTTGAAGTTCCTAGGCCTTAAGGTTCTTTAGTTATTGATCGGAAACCGTTTTTGCTTACAAGGTCAATGTGACCTTGACTTTTGACCCCTTGACCCCAAAATCAATAGGGGTCATCTACTTGTCATGACCAATCACCATACCAAGTTTGAAGTTCCTAGGCCTAAGGGTTCTTTAGTTATCACTCGGAAACCATTTGGTCTACGGACCGACGACCGACAGACCGACGGACCGACGGACCGACAAGTGCAAAGCAATATACCCTCTTTTCTTCGAAATGGGGGCATAACAATTAAAAGTGAGATAGCATATTATTTACAGGTATTAAAACAAGGTTGTTATCTATTTTGGCTTCAAGGTAGGGCATTTTTTTAAAATACTTTTTCAACAGAATACTAGTGACTTATGCTAAGCTTTCTAAACACTACCTGCTGCATTTACAAGTGATCTTATACAGCTTCCATTTCTGGAACTGTCCATTATTAGCTTTAGTCACATCATCTTGAAAAATTAAGGTTACTCAGCCAACAGTATTGAGTCTGGTCAGACTGCACAGAAGTCCAGATAGGCCTGGCCTTACTTTTGGTGGCCAATGCTAATCACTTCCGGTCAAGGCAGGGAAAAGGTTAAACAATGTTCTCTATACAATCTACTAGAATTAAACCAGGCAATTATTTTAAATTTGGCATTTCCATTTGACTGATAAGTAAAATTAAATAAGAGCCACCGCCGGGTGGGGGCAACGCTCGAACATTACTTTTTCTAAAACCAAACAATTAAATCTTTTACACAAATCTTAAAAAGAAAATTAAAGAAAAATTTTTTTCCTGTCTAGTCACACTTATTGTTTTGTTCAAGTATTTTCATTTGACGGTCAAGGTCATTTAAAGATCAAGGTTATATCTCAATTATTTGGCATGTCTGTTTGGTCACAGTCAAGGTCAGTTAAAATTGTAGAATATCTTGTCAAAAAGGTTGTATTGTCCATGTATGCAAATAATCCAGTGATTAATTCCAAAGTTACAGCCTATTATAGTGATACTCAGTGAAAATAAAATTAAAACTGATCTTCAAGGTCAAGGTCATATTTGAGTCGAGGTCAATTTGAATTTGATATACATGAAGGTCCTGACCTAAAAGATGTTGTGTCTTAATATCAAGTTACTCCATTCATAAATAACAGAGTAATAAGACAGTCACAGAAAAAAACAAGAGAATTCATTAATTTGACCTTGACTGTCAAGATTTAAAGCTCAAGGTCAGATCACATTTCGGAAGGACTTGTCCCAAATATTTTTCTAAAGTATTAAGATAATCTATTTATTAATTCCCCAGTTACAGTCAACTATTGCAAAAAGTAAAATTTCATTAATTTAACCTTCAAGGTCATAAAAGAGCCTAGGTCAGTTTGAGTTTGATATACATAAAGGTCATATCCTCAAGAATGTTATGTTATGATATACATAAAGGTCATATCCTAAAGAATGTTATGTTATAAAATATCCATTACAAAATAACAAATTAAAGCCAGTTTAGCAAAAAAAGAAAATTTCAATACTTTGACCTTCAACAACAAGGTCAATTATGAGTTAAAGTCAAGGTATGTCTATTTAACTTAAAGTTCTATCCTAAAAGATTATTATTTTCAAGTCTAAAGAAGACAATCCATTCAAAAATTACAAGTTATAGCCACTTGTAGCTAAATCAATGCCAACATAACTGTAACAAGACCTCTACTTTTTAATTCCCCTTTTTAAAAAAATGGCTAAAAAACAGCTTTTTTTGTTTGTTTTGAAAAAATGTCATCACGGCTGGAATTATTTCTGAATCTTCTCTTAGAACTTGCACCAAGACAAACGTTATCTCATGAAGACATCTGTATTTCTGAAACTGGAATTGTCTCTGAAAGAAAAAGAAATTGAAAAGCTACATTAACTTTATTAATGGTAAAAAGCACTTGTTTTTTTTCTGGGAAAAACATTCCTCAAGAACATATTAACTTGTACTTTCCTATAATTGTGACAAGAAATAAACAACATTTTAATTTATCAATTATATATTATACAGTTCTTCTCTAAGCTACTTTATAGCTTCCTAGCATAAGAAAACCCAAATTTCCTTGCAGGGTCAAACCAAACAGCAGTGAGAGGTGAGTGAAGGACCACAAGTAATAAAATAGTACTAGCTAAAACTAAAACAAAAAAACAATTCATGTGTAAATGAAGCAAGTACTTACTTCATACTGTCATTGTGGGTTTTATATTCCATGATTGTATTAGGTGGTAGATTCAGCACACGCTTTAATGTGTCTCGTATTCTTGATGTAGTTGTGTGATCATTTGCCGTTCTGTTCCATAGAGACAATATATCCTCCTGAAAGAACATGATCAATAATTTACAATGATTTACCAATGATAGTAAACTACAAAAGACCCGTATGGCCATTTCAACTTCATAACTTCCCAATTTTATCATCATTTTAACTTTGTGAATTCCTGTTTTCAACATACAAAATTCACGAATTCATGAATTCACAATTTCAACTTCAGAAAATCCCGATTTCAACTTCATGAATTCCCGATTTAAACTTACTGAAGTTGAAATCGTGAAGTTGAAATTGTGAATTCATGAAGTTGAAAATGTGAATTCACAAAGTTGAATTTGTGAAGTTGAAATGTCCCCCACCAGTCTTTCGTAGTAAACAGATTGTTCTTTACTGCTCCACTGAGTGGATAAACTACATGATTTACATTTTCAAATGTTTGATGTAAAATATTTCTATTGCTAAACTAAATTTTCTGTTTTTAATGATTAAACATGCACAGTTTATTTGGCCCTAACCCACATAACTTATTCATACTTCAACTATAGTTTTCTTCATTCTACAACATCACAAAAAGGATCATGCTCTGTATGAAATAAAGTCATATTCTAAAATGCCTCACACTATTCCCCCTATCAAACAAATAGGTCAGTCAAGTGCATTATTACATGATATATGCACATCATATAAAAGGAATGCTTACATTTCATATGATATCAGAAAAATTACTTCTCCGTTCGATGTAGTGCAACATAATTTTATCAATTTTTAGCTCGACTATACGAAGTATATGGAGAGCTGTCCTACTCGCCCCGGCGTCGGCGTCCGCGTCCAGATTTTAGATTAAAGTTTTGGTGCAGTAAAATATTTTTCACTATAACTTTGTCATTTCTTAAGGTATCAACTTCAAACTTCAAATATATGTTCCTTATCATCAACCACATCTTATGTGACAAGGTTCATAACTCTAGCACCAATATTTACAGATTTATCTCCCCTTGAACTTAGAATTTTCCTTAAAAAATACTATTTCTTACTGTTTCTTCTTTATTTCTTAAGGGATCAACCTCATACTTCAAATATATTTACCTTATCATCATCCCCATCTTATGTGACAAGGTTCATAACTCTAGCACCAATATTTTCAGATTTATCTCCCCTTGAACTTAGAATTTTCCTCAAAAAATGCTGTTTCTTACTGTTTCTTCTTTATTTCTTAAGGGATCAACCTCATACTTCAAATATATTTACGTTATCATCATCCCCATCTTATGTGACAAGGTTCATAACTCTAGCACCAATATTTTGAGATTTATCTCCCTTTGAACTTAGAATTTTCCATAAAAAATATTATTTTTTACTGTTACTTATTTATTTCTAAAGGGATCAACTTCATACTTCAAATATATTTACGTAATCATCATCCACATCTTATGTGACAAGGTTCATAACTCTAGCACCAATATTGCAAGAATTATCTCCCCATAAACTTAGATTTTTTTACTAGAAAAATGTTATTTTTTATTATAACTTTTTTATTTTTAAAGGTATCTACCTCAAACTTCAAATACTTATTCCTTATCATCAATTACATTTTATGTGACAATGTTCATAACTCTTAAAGCAATATTTACAGATTTATCTCTCTTTGAACTTAGGATTTTCTTTAAGAAATATGATAACTTCTTTACTTTTTAAGGTATCTACTTCAAACTTCAAATATATATTTCTTATCATTACACAAATGTTGTGTGAAAAGGTCCATAACTCTAGCATGACTATTTCTAGAATTATTCCCCTTGATCTTGGAATTTATGTTAACAAATGTTATTTTTTTTACTATAACTTAATACATAATTATACATAATTGATTTTTCTTTCATAGTTTTGTCCTCCTTACTGCGTCCAGTATTTTATTAGTCGAGCTTCGCTGTCTCCTGTGACAGCTCTTGTTTATTAGCATGTTAGAATGGAGATGATATCATTTTAATTTTTTTTGGCATAATACTAAATTATGCCTACTGACCTTCATGATTATATTCCTACGCATTTGAACTCGTAGCGTGCAGTATTTTACAACAATTCACTCAAAATTAATATGAATTTCCTAAACATACAACAAATAAGGCTACTTAAACAAAGGCCTGGTAAAAAAATATATGCCATCTTATTAAGATAATCTAATGCTACGTTAGAGCTAAGTGATGGACAACATATACTTACTGCATATCTTATAGATATAACTGCTCCACAAATCTCTTCACCAACCATAAACTGCTCTCCTAGCATGGCAAGTATCAAATTCTCCCAACATCTCGATGCTAAACCTTTCTTTAAACGAATGATCCACTTTCCACCATTCTTATTTGCACTGTCCTGTAATAAACAACCTCCCTCCTTCAGGAATCATAGAACACAATATGGTATGCAAGCTGATGGTATGTCTCTCATCCAATATTAATTCATTCACTGATGATAAATGAAATTAAAAAAATATGTATTATAATTATATTCTGACGGTTTGACCAACTATACTTTTTTTTAACATTTTATATTTCATTTCAGAACAGAAACGTTATTACAAACAAAATAAATAAAAAAAGTGTCAATGCTTGTCTGTTAATTAAGGGCAATGACTATGAATAACCAAATTTTGCAAAATTCTACAAGGGGTATAACTCCAAAAGTAAAGCTTTCAGAATAATGCCCCTTGTCTAACAAGTGCACCTTGTCATGATAAGCAAGAATTCATGTTGTTAACTTTTAAAATGTTTGAATAATGGGCTACATTAAAGTTTTATGCAAGACGAAGAGAAGAACAACAATGCAGCAATCATTGTAGCTTCACTTTTTCTTCGCTACAGACAAACTAATAAGAAAACTTATGATATTATTTAAAGTTTTCTGACAGGATTGAATATACCAACTGCAAAGTAGCTCCAACTCTAAAGGTGTTAACATTAGCCAGCAATGTAATGTAGCCAGTAATAAATCTAAACGTATAATTTTATTTTTAAATGACAGAAAAATGCATTAATGAGTAAAATACCTCCCACATTGGCCTGATTCCTTCTTTGAATAAATGATAATCTGTGTGTCCTGTGAGATCACTGGGCCGAGCTATGTGGCAATAATGTCGCCAGAATTGCTCCACAGACGCAAACGTCCCTATTAGCTTTAAATTCTGGTCATAACTCGCTGTTTTATGTCCCTGAGATTTTCTGGAGTACCAAAAACCATAGTTATACTGTAATGGGTGCTCTCCTGGGCCTGGCTTCTGTAATGAACATACATGAAGGCATGTCAAATGTTTAACATGTTTGCAAAGATATGTTTAAGGGTTAAAAATGCAATATTTGCTTAGTAGAAAGCAAAATAGAAAACTGGATTTCACTGATCGAACTAATTTAACAGAAAAACAATCTTATACAATGAGCATATGAAAGTAAAAAGCATTACATATACAACACTTATGTATTTAATTTTGTTCAAATTACATACTTTAAAACTGTCCCCATTTACACAATTGATAGCAAATAAAAACCCCATTCAGAATGAAATGGTATTACAAAGATTTATTTTCTTGTTTGTGAAGTTTATGTTAATTAATTGATACATGCACAATTATCAGAAATTATAAGTTATTTTACTGGAGGGGGTCTTGGTGGTGATTCTGGTTCTTGTTTGTTTTCATTTTCCTCTTCACCAGATCCACTGCTGTCTTCAGCCTTTAAACTGTTGATAAAAATTATAGTAAATATTAGTTCAAATAATTTCTATAAAATCCAATGTCATAAAACCTGAAAGCAGTTCCACTGACACAAATACCATAAACAAGAGGGTTATGATGGCCCTGAAATCGCTCATCTGAATATAAAACTCTCCAGTCCATGACAAGGAACAAGAAATATTGAAAACTGCAAACAAAAGCAGATATGAAATTTAAATCTAAAACTGATATCAGAAAGTTCATATTTGTGTCTGAAACAGTGTAAATGTGTAAAAACATTAAAGGTTGCTATTGCAAAGGGAAACCAACAGTTCCAAAAGTTGTGTACATGTCAGAAAAAATCGATGACCCCCTGGGACAAGGCCAACTTTGACCCCATAGCTTTCATTTGAACAAACACTATCCAGAAGATGATCAGTTTTAAAACATTTTAAGTAACAAAGATAATTTCAAAAAATATGTTGAATTTTTCAGTTTCTATTTTGATTGTTACTGATCGTAACTTTTAAATACTTTTACAGTAATTTTATTACTACTTAAAAGTTAATTAGCTGAACAATCTATCCTTTAGGGCCAAGATGACCCGTGCCGAGTTTGTATAGGGCCGAGTTGACCCTATACCGTCACGATGACACGTTATTTCTTGTACAAAGTACGTAAACAGGGACTTTAAACATGATTAAGCCGTTATATTTCCGAGAAACGAAGAAATAGGCATGTAATGAAGTAAAAATATCTTACGCTTCAAATTTGTTGTTCATAATTCACAAAAATATGTGATAAAATCGTTGATAATTTGCAAATTTCTCTTCTGTGTTAAGAAACGCTCAATTTGTTCCGAGTCAAGCGCTCTAATGATTTAGAAAAATATTTTTGAGTTTTGATTGGTCAATATCAAATTGTAAAATGTATCGAGTATTTTCATTGGTTTATTGTTATAAAGCCGGCAAGATGGCAGCCTCCACAACATCCAGCACAAAACAAAAACTTTTATCATTGATCGAAGATGTTGAGATTGTCTCGAGGTATACATGATTATTTCAAAAAGTAGAATTTCAAAGACATTATTTCATAAATAATTAACTTGATCACAAAGCAGAGTGGTGTAGAATACTTTTCTTGAAAAAATATCTATTGTGTACTCACACAAAAATACATTAGCTTAAGGTCTGGTGGTGGTATTGGTAGTTTTCACTCTGGTTCACGGCAGAAGGCCTTTTTTAAATTACCAGAGCACAGTTCAGCCACAGCATTATTTCCTGGACAGGCTGTCAAGCAGTTTACCAGTTCTAGTTCCTTCACTTTTGCTAGTAACTATTTATTTATTTATTTATTCAATAAATTCGGAAAAGAGTCAACTCGGCCCTATACCAACTCGGCACGGGTCAACTCGGCACGGGTCAACTCGGCCCACTTTACAAAAATATATATAACGTATTAACTTTGCTTTGCTTTGAATGTTGTTAAGGTAAATGAATAATGAAAAATATTTTATTATTATATAATTAAACTTCTGCCGAAATAAGTACATTTAAATTTTTTTTATTTATTTGTCTCACAGATTCGATAAAATTAATATAGATCGATCTAATAAAAATGTGTTTCCTTAGAGGCATTTTGTTTGTAAAGTAATATTCAAAGAAATATGAAACAAAAACGTGTTTACTTCATACACGGATTTATATTCATATCATCAGCTTCTAATTAATTGCAGGTGGTCACTAATCAAATGAATGAATGAGTCAATCATAATTATCACCTAATTAATCGTATCCTTAACATACACACTGATTGATAATAATAGCCCGTAACAATATATATTTCAACACAATGTTTGATTAAAATAATTACAATAAATAGTGATAACACAAACCTAAATATTAATAATTGAAAAGTGGGCCGAGCTGACCCGTGCCGAGTTGGAATAGGGCCGAGCTGACTCGGGGGCCGAGTACGTTTTAGGGCCGAGCTGACCCGGATTCATAAATTCTGTACATGCCTGAGCAGAGGTACAGTGTGAATGACAGAAGAAATGATTAAATGATCAATCTTAATGAAAGCACCATCCAGGAATGAAACCCAGAAGGGCCAGATCGTCCAATTCACAGTCGGATATAGATATAGCTTAACCCTTTACCTCATATATACGCGAAACAACGCACTTTCAACCCCCCCCCCCCCTTTTTTAGGCCTGAAATAGTGAAAAAATGTCCTATTTGGGTCCCAAACACATGTTTTCATTTGAGAAATGTTGCTAAAAATAGTGAGCACTTTTTCGGCGTCGCCCCCCATCCAAAAGCTATATCAGGGGGTTGCCAGGAGGGGGATATGCCCCCTTCTGTTTTGGGGGTTTGAAGGGGGGTGGAGTCCCCCTCATCGCCAAGAAAATTTTGGACTTGTGAGAGGCTAAAAATGACCCCAGGTCGATCATAAGGTAACGTGTAACCAACGATGAAAAGCCTTTGACTCTATCTCAATCCCTTGAGAAGTTGCAGCACTTTGAAATAATTTGATGGAAAAAATCGAGGCAAAATAGTGATTTTTGGCAATTTTGAGATGTCCCCTCGTTGACATGGTAACAGAAAATTTAAGACTGAGCATGTCGTTACAAAGGCAATGGTCCAGTCAACATTTGTGCCAAGTTTGATTAGTATTGAAGCATTTTTCATAGTTTCATAGCAGTTTGAACTTGTAACAGGAGGCTTTTCAGTGAAAACGGCCATTTTTCACAATATGCTCATGGGGGAAAGGGTTAAGGTCTTTAGGCTGAATAGCATTCCTGTTTTTTATACTGTAGAAAGAACGGGTACACTGAAGACAATGTTGTTTAGTCATGATCGTTTTCTTTCATGAAGCACTCCACTTAGTTAAATGAAGCATATGCTGATAAAACTATAATATGTAATTTTATATGAAAGTAGGCAAAGCCTATGAAAGGGAAAGTTAGATAAAATATTTTTCATTTTACAATTTTCTTTTTTAAGATGTCATTTGGTATTTCATGCACTTCTGTTTTCAATTTGAACATTTCAACCATTATTTTAAGCTGAAAAGTCGCGATTGTTCCTTATCTGACTAGCCTGGCAATTATCATTGACTTACATTGAAAAAATTGCAGCGCGCAACAAGAATTGACACTGAAAATTTCACTGATAGTTATCGAAGTCTATATATTTTTTAATTATTTTACTTCATTTCTTTTTAAATATACACATGGAGTTAATAGCCGCCAAAGCCAGCCCTATTCCTGGCCCGCTTTGCAGACCAGGCCTTTGACTCTCCCATGTTTATAAGCCAAGTATCAACATATAAAACATTAATTTCAAAAATAAACTACCTAATAAGTTCAGATAGGTGAAAATATTTAGCACTTGACCACAAGCCGTCTGCCAAATTTTGTTGATTTTAAGTATATTAGAGCTAATTATATGTTAATGATTAGTTTGTTGTCTTTGTCGAACTGTTCATATTCATCTTGATGTACATTCATGATTGTACGGAGAGATATAATACTTTCTACTATTATTAATAAGGTTGAGACATTAAATATTTTCATAGTGAAATCTTATAAATTTCTTCAATTTCAGAGAACTGTTTGAGATTATGAGTACGCCAAAAAGTCAACAACGGCAAGGAGCTCCAGAACCGTCTGAATTAATACAACTTCTGGTTGATAAAGACAAAGAAATCAAAGATTGCTTAAAAACAGGTATTAATCTTGAATATTGTGCAAGAGTGTAATATTTTAAATATATGTTTGTAAATATTTTTTGAAGTTATCTTTCAACAAAAGTAAACATAATCAAAATTTTTTGTTATTATGCTGTAGGACTTAAATATATTTGCTTTTTAATTATAAATGTTTTGAAGGGGAGATAATTAATATAAATGACAATTTTAGAGTTATTTCAACAGTTTCTTCTGTTTCATTTTAAGATAGATTCTTTGTTCACAAAGAATTAACACAAATGTCAAATATGAGGCCAGTCTCATACATAAAATGTATGTATTAATAAAAGGCTCATTATGCCTCAGAAATCCTCAATTTTTATTTCTCAATAGCTTTTTAATTTTGGTGAACTTTTATAGTATTTAAAAAGTGCATGAGTGTAGGTTCAATACTGAATTTATTGAATAAGTTGAATAATATTATATTATATGAACCTTTGGCGAGCAAAATATTGTTTATTCAATGAGTTCAATAAATTCAGAAATCAACCTTCATGAATATAATATTCTGTTAATCACATGTGTATACCGAAAATAAAGACTGTTTAATGTGCAAAAGAATCATTTAACACTGAGGATGCCTATAGTGTAACACTTAATGTAGCACGTCTTTACACTATGTTTGTATGATGTAACTGACCTCACGTCAAAGTATATGCACAGTCATGCAATACCATTTTTACCAAGTAGCAAAATCGGCACGGGTATGCGATAAACTTGCTTTATTGTTTCAGCTGGTAAACAGGGTGAAGTACAGAAGACTATAGATGAATTAAAACATGAGGTAGACAAGAGAGACTTAGATATCAAAATACTTCAGAAAAATCTCAAAGAGGCAGAAAATGTTCTGGTATTTCATAGTTTATGTTATTTTATCTCTTATGATTTTAAAGCAATTACAACACAATACTTTATTTCGATTTAAAGCCTCTGATCGGCACAAAAACATGTATACAAAGAAACAATTTACACAAACTTGCAGCATGTGCATGGTGTTTAAACATATACAGTACTATATATATTAAACTGAAAATGACTAAGACATTAACATTGTGTATCAAAGAAAAGTTAATTATCAACATGTGCTGAAACACTTAAATGAATAGTTTGAGAAATTTTTGATTTTATGTCTCGGCTGTCGGAAGTTTCCAAAAGATATTTGGACTGCCCTTATAATTTTGCTCCTGCGATAGTGTTAATATAGAACTTGCATGTAAATTATTTATATCTGGAACCACTAACATTGTTCAATATAAACCCAATTCTTTGTTATTTTATCTAGCCTGTATAAACCAACCAAGGCACATACAGATATTATTGTGCAATTTTTTTTTTTGCGAAATTGGCTGAAAATGACAGAGATTATATCCTATAAGAAATCATTTCCTATTCTCAAATATTGCTTTCAGCACTTAGTTAATTTTTGTATTGACCCAAAAGAAACAACAACTTTTGTGAATTTTTTCAGTCCACGGCGATATTCCAAGCAAAGCAGAAGTTGGACTCTATAAGCCAGGCTAATGAGAAAAGAATCTCTTCTGAGGAGCTGATTAAATTTGCTCACAGGATCAGTGCTAGTAATGCTGTGGAAGCTCCGCCCACTTGGCAACCAGGTTAGTATGTGATTTTGTCACTTGTTGGTAAAGTGGTTAATCCCATTATTGCAGATCAATTCCCCACTTATTTCTGTATATTGTATTTTTTACTGAAAGTTTGGATTTGTTTTACATTCTTTGTTTGTCTTACGGTAGATACCAGCTTCTACCTGGAATAATGCAAAGATGACATTTGTGCCTGAAATAATGCAAAGAGGGACATTTGTGCCTGAAATAATGCAAAGAGGTACATTTGTGCCTGAAATAATGCAAAGAGGGACATTTGTGCCTGAAAAAATGCAAAGAGGGACATTTGTGCCTGAAATAATGCAAAGAGGGACATTAATTTTGTGTCTGAAATAATGCAAAGAGGGACATTTGTGCCAGAAATAATGCAAAGAGGGACATCTGAGATCTCCTGCATCAAATGTAACTGGAAAGTTAACCTTATGGCCTTTACAGAGTGGGTTCATCTTAAAATCCACAAGAAAAAGTTTGGCCTGATATGAATGAATCTTTGACCAAAATACATTAATGATTGTGGTAAATGACTGAAAAATGAAAAGCATTGCTACATTGTATGCTTTTCACTCAAAACAGGCTAAAAATTGTGTATTTTTCTTTATTATCCTTGGCAGATTTTTCTATTTTAAGAGCATCACTTGATCTTTGCAAGAAGTTCAAATTTTATCTTTATTGCTATTTAGAGCTTAAAACTTTGTACATCACTGCTCCAAATTAAAAGCAGGGCAAATCTATTATACAAAGTAAGCAGATTAAGGTTTATTTAACTAAAACTACTGAGTACATTATCCAGGTGACCCCCGACGTCCCTACCCTACAGACTATGAAATGAGAAGTGGTTGGTTGGCAAAGATGAGTGACATACCTGCAAACACACCAGCAATACAAGCCCAGGGCTCTTATGGTGAACCTATGGCCTCCAACAGGAATCCTTTACCTGGAGGTAAAATTGTAATTTTAAGTACATGTACATGTAATTGTTAAAAATAAATGGTCATTTGCATTCATTGCCTATTTAGTTAAGTTGTTTATTTGTGTTTGTTAGTCTCTGTGACCAAATTAAATTATAATAGCTCATAGTCAAGGTCACATATCATCACCTTAGTGCAATAACTGGTTAACTCCTATAAAATTTAGAATGACTTAACCCATTCTTGCACTAAGGGGACAATATGTTAAACAGTTTTAGTAATGAATAATTAATGCCAAGAGACAGAGATACTTTGAAGCTCTTATCCTGGAGTGTTGCAAACAGACTTTTACATTTTACAATATGGTAAATGTGTTGATAATGCCTTACTCACTCTGTTAAGAAAGAAGTGCACCGTGAAACAATAACTGTAAAGTTTGTTTGTATCCCGGGGTTAAGATGGGAAAATCTATTACTTGTGAATAATTTTGTTTTCCATTATTGTATAAAAGTTATTACTAAAGTGTATTTATTATATTTATTATTTTGAAATGGAGTCAAAGGTTCATCTGAAAAATAAATTTAACATTTACTCTGCTATAAATATACATGTGTAATGAACTGACCCTGATTTGAATCTCAAGCTGTCCGACGTAAGAAATCTTGATTTCATTTTAGAAAAAAATGAGACAACAATATTGAGATTGATCAAACTGTTTGGCCTTATATGGGTAACCAGAATGTTCTTTTGGCATAGATAAATTCATTAAATTGCAATAGTCACCAACTTTCAGTGAGCTGATCTAGCTTTTTTCTTTTACAGAAATGATAGTACCTGCTCCACCAGCCCAGCAGCAGACAGTCACGTGGCAGACACCTTCCGACATGTCTTCATCGTCAATGTCGTCTCATCCGCATACCGGCCTCGTCGACTTTAAATCTCATAATAAAGAGAATGAGGAAGTAGAACTGATGTCAAGTGACTCTTCTAGTAGTTCTAGTAGTGATGAATGATTGTAAATGATGTCCGGCATAATGCCACGGTGTAATTCTATAAATGATGTTCGGCATAATGCCACAGAGTAATTATATAATATGATGTTTGGCATAATGCTACGATCAATTGTGTAGTGACCTTTACAACCTTTTGTCTATGTTGGGCTGGTCCAGTTAGATAGAAGGGGAGAGTCTGTGTGATAAAGACACCCTTTGGGAGTAGAATTGAGCCGACCATTCTATTCTCATAAGTTCTGAAGAGTATGTACTTTGACAGAAGTTGTGCCAACAAGATTAAAGATGAAATGGTTTTGAAATCATAATCAATTACTGTTCTTACCAGATTTCATACACAGGGACCAATTATACAAAAATGAATGACAGTTTGGTAAATCAGATAACTAATGGACTCACTGGTTTGAGAAGAATAACTTATGCTAGCCAAATTACAAATGTTTACAAAATTACAAATGTTTACAAATTTTGTAAAAAAAAAATAAAAAAATGCAAATCACTTTCAGATAAGCTTATTGGGACACACTGTCAGCATCTTCTTGTATGGATGATAGGTTTGTTGGTATCTGATATTTTATGAAGGTTTGATAGCTAAAAGAAAGGGAAAAAATTAGAAAATCATTATCCTGTGTAATATACATGTTTATCACACACCCGTGCCGATTTTGCGACTCTGTTAATATGATATTGCACGGCCGTGCATATATTTTGACGTGACGTCATTAGCGTTGCAATAAATTCAGTATTGAACTTACACTCATTCAATATCCTCTATATGTATTAAAAGTTGCTTGGGAAAGACTTAGTTATACTTGGCATATACTATATATGAGCCGCGTCATGACCAAACCAACATAATGGGTTTGCGACCAGCATGGATCCAGACCAGCCTGTGCATCCGCGCAGTCTGATCAGGATCCATGCTGTTTGCTATCAGTTTCTCTACTTGTTATAGAGTTGGAAAGTGAACAGCATGGATCCTGATCAGACTGCGCGTATGCGCAGGCTGATCTGGATCCATGCTGGTCACAAACGCACTATGTTGGTTTTGTTGTGACGCGGCTCATATATATCTTGAATTGACTTGGCAGTCTAGCCTAAACCATTCACCATATTTCAGTGAGCAGTACAGATCATAATCAGATTGCACCCATGTGTTGACGGATCTTCAATTTCTTCGTCTGCATTGCACTGGTCATGTGAGTGTAACCTTTTGCTGCTAGCAGATTTAGGGTTTATAAGGTTTCCTTTAAGTCAAACCAGTCTATTTTCTATACCATATTGATTTGAGACGAGTATTTTAATCAGGCTGTTCACATGCATGTACATCAATTTGTCTTAAATGACATTTGGATGTTGTTTTTAATAGATAATGATTGTAGAAAAGAATCAAATGATTGTTAAGAAATATTCTGTTTAGTGAATTGCGATATTAGAAGAGAAATAAATAAAAATAAAGATTGGGTGAAATAGTGGTTTTTTTTTGGAAATATGAAATTTACAGCTGGTGTTTTGATTGAAGAGTACTTTGATTCTTACAATGCTGCATTTGTTTAAAGGTTGTGTCTTACTTTGAATATGTCACATTTGGTAATGAGATCATAAACCAATATTTGAGTGTAGTCTAGCCTGCAGGAGATTACAGGTTTCTAGTGGCTAATGGAAATCATAATTGTCGCAAGCATTTAGAAAGTTAAAGGGACTTCACTGAGTTGTTTTTTGACATGACCAGACTGAAAATATTATCCAGAGATTTGTGTACCAAAAGGCAACTGATGTAGGCCTGGACCAATTACTTGTGTTCAGATTTGCATAAAATATTGATTTTTAGCTCGACTATACGAAGTATATGGAGAGCTGTCCTACTCGCCCCGGCGTCCCCGTCCGTGTCCAGATTTCAGATTAAAGTTTTGGTGCAGTAAAATATTTTTCACTATAACTTTGTCATTTCGTAAGGTATCAACTTCAAACTTCAAATATATGTTCCTTATCATCAACCATATCTTATGTGACAATGTTCATAACTCTAGCACCAATATTTTCAGATTTATCTCTCCTTGAACTTAGAATTTTCCTTAAAAAATACTATTTTTTTACTGTAACTTCTTTACTTCTTAAGGGATCAACCTCATACTTCAAATATATGTACCTTATCATCATCCCCATCTTATGTGACAAGGTTCATAACTTTAGCACCAATATTTTCAGATTTATCTCCCCTTGAACTTAGAATTTTTCTTAAAAATACTATATATTTTTTACTGTTGATCTAACTTCTTTACTTTTTAAGGTATCTACTTCAAACTTCAAATATATATTTCTTATCATTATACACATGTTGTGTGACAAGGTTCATAACTCTAGCGTGACTATTTCTAGAATTATTCCCCTTGATCTTGGAATTTATGTTAACAAATGTTATTTTTTTACTATAACTTAATACATAATTATACATAACTGATTTTTCTTTCATAGTTTTGTCCTCCTTACTGCGTCCAGTATTTTATTAGTCAAGCTTTGCTGTCTCCTGTGACAGCTCTTGTTAATTTAATTTTAAATTAATATCGTAATATCCGATAAAGACGAGTGTAAACATGTAACACGCCAGGGGTCAAAAACTATGTCACACTGCTCAAATATGTCACACTGCTCAACTGTCATGAAACTTGGTCAGGATGCTTGCCTAAGAAATTGCTCGGATGAGTTCGATCGGTCAGGTGAGCGATCTAGGGCCATCTTGGCTCTCTTGTTATATCTTAACATTTTCAAAGAGCCACAGATACATTTTATTTCAATATATGTTTGTAAATAATAGTATGCTATACTAATAATGCACGGTTTATCTTTCAAATCACTCGGGCCTGTTGACCTTCGTGATTATATTCGTGCGCATTTGAACTCGAACCATGCATTACAATTACATGCAAGGACCGAATCGCGACCGCGGCAACAAAACGTTATATGCGGTATATCTTTATAAGCGAAAGCGTTATAAGAGGAGTTTCATTTTGTATTAAGTCTTAATAGCGAACAAATAAACAACAGCTTTCTGTACAATCGATTGTTCATTAAATGCTGTACAAATCTTCTCTGTTCCGACAGCACGGATATTATACTCCTCATAATATGCAACTTGAACTGCATTTAACATCATATTTTGATTAAAAAGAAGACAAGATAATGTATTGACGTCATACATGCAAAACATTAAACTTCATCTAGGTATTTCAGATAGCTTCAATTTAATCTTGAATTTTATAATAAAACAAATCCGTTACATATCTGTCTCTTTAAAGGTTTAGCTCGACTGTGTTGATACCCTTGTACACTGGTATAATATAAGACAAAATGTGCAAATGACCTCAAAAGGGCTCGCACCCATCCACCGTCTTTGTGGTTAGAGGCACACATCGTTTTAACTACTGGGCTCCGCTTCCTCTGGCTTTCAAAGGATATTTTTGATGTTATTTTATTTGTAACAAACAATTATACATGTAGTTTGTTCTAATATAGTTATTCCAGCCTTAATTATTAAAATAATGGTACCAAAATCTTGTACAGGCCGCAACAAATGTTCGTAATATTCAATATTAAATACTTGCGTTTAGATGTTAAAGACAATTTTATAGCTGTCATTGCGTAATGCCTTAATAAAACAGAATTTTAAATGAATCTCTAATGGTTAAATTGATGCCAATATGTGCTTAAATATTGTCCACATGATTTACGATAAGGCACGATTCATTGTTGGATAAATCGAAGTATTACAAGTACTTTGAATATCAATCATAACATGTCTGTTTTATTTGATGAGTTATTCGATTACCAATTTACTCTTTCATATACTACATGGCTCAGAACATGCCGTAATACATGGTAACATAACTCTAAAACAAAAATGTAGTATTGTTTTTATCACAGGCGACAAGATGATGTCATTATACAAATAATTCGTTATACAAATGTAGTTCCATACTTTTGCATGATCTAACTCGCAGTGTGAATCGTTTACTCAAGTAACGCATGCTTAATTAACCCTTGCCATGAAACATCACTTTAATGAACGCCATCCTTCAATCCGCCCCCTGCCCCCCCCCCCCCCCCCCAAAAAAAAAATAACATAATAATAATAATAATAAAAAATAAATAAGAAAAATAAAGATTAAATAAATAAATAAAAAAAAACAGTTGGAACATTTTCAAAAATATATACTGACTGAATAAGTGCTATTTAGGCCTAATAAGAATTATACTTCTATGTTCTCACCATATTTTGTTCATGGAATAAGCAAAAACAATTTTTTTGACTTTGACTTTAATAGCGAACAGTGCTAGACGCATGAGTAGATTCAGTTGACATTAGCACAGGAATAAGAAAACAATTTATGAATTAAAGACAAAATCACATTTTCATTTTAAGATGGACGAATAATGATTATTTCAATTTTAAATGCGTTAAAATTCGGCACATTTTGCTTTGCATCTTTTGTACAGGCTAATCGAAAATTTGGTCAAATTTCCTCTTTCAAATTGGTATGATATTAGTTGTTGAAAATGATGACTTCATAATATCTGGTCATAATCATATCTCTGCAGTAATACCTACAAGTCATGCTTTGTCAAGAAATGCACTCACTTATGGTTCATAAATTACAAATAAATCATCGATAAACTTGCTGATTATAGTCACGTGGATTATAATAATACGATAATATTTTACCCTATCACCTTTACAAAATAAATCAAACAACATGCACCGAATGCATTAATCACCTCATATTTTCAATTTAAATGCACTCTGCTACCCCCCCCCCCCCATCACCCCCAAGACTACCACAAATCCGCCTTTCCATAAGATTATGTATTATTAAAAGACTCGGAAAAAAACCCAACTTAAACAAACTTCAGGATTTTTTCCCTATATATTTTGCCATTTATTCTTTATTATTTTGGAATGCGATGTCAATGTGTTGTTTGCAGAAGTATCATTCTGAAATAAACGTTCTGAAATAAGAAATAATATTCTTTATATACATACTCCGAAAAAACAACATTTTAATTTTTATGACACGAAGCTGCTTGATTTCAAGGTTATATAATCATTACATATTAAGTTATGATCTTCTAATATAAATCATTTTTGGACCTTTTTTTAAATCAATTTAGCCACGTTTTCATTATCCGAGTCCCCCCCCCCCCCCCCCCACCCCCCCCAAAAAAAAAAAAATCCTGTAAAATCCTTAGAAGTAAGAAAATTCTGTCAATATGTAAAAAATATTGGTATGTCATTTTTCATTGATGATTACAAAACTGATTATATTGGACTCGTACACAGCTGCAAAACATCAGGATCATTACGACCATCACGAGGCCTGGTGACAAGTTAATCTTCATCTCCGTTGTGCGTGATTTTTTTTTCACGAACCTTCTTAATTTTCTACTTTTTAAAAGCACGTCATTCCAATATATCAATTATTGTTATGAATGAGCCGCGTCATGACAAAACCAACATAATGGGTTTGCGACCAGCATGGATCCAGACCAGCCTGCGCATCCGCGCAGTCTGATCAGGATCCATGCTGTTCGCTATCAGTTTCTCTACTTGTAATAGAGTTTGTAAGCGAACAGCATGGATCCTGATCAGACTGCGCAGATGCGCAGGCTGGTCTGGATCCATGCTGGTCGCAAACCCATTATGTTGGTTTTTGTCGTGACGCGGCTCAAATGTAT